AATGTTGTCTACTTTTTTTTTTATTCTGCTCTTTTTGTTTTTTTTTTTTTTTTGTTTTTTTTTTTTTTTTTTTGTTTGGTTTTTTTTTTGGTTTTTCTTACTAATGATTTATGAAGTGATCAAGTGTATGGATTTGAGTGTGATTTGGATTCTTGACTCATCATATTAGTTCTGCATGCAGCTTCTCTCTAAAAGGCTTCTAGTAATCTTGCCCATCTTCAAACCTATTTGTGGTAAGAAGACAACTGCAGGTGTCTTGCTGTTCAGTTCTACACCACTGATATTCTGTGTAAAACACAGGGCACTTTCAGATGTGACTGATTTATACCCTATATCTGAGCAAATGCAGGATTTCAATTCAAACTTTGGATGAATTACTTAACCTGAGTGCAGTTAAACATTCATTGCACAGGATGAGTTGTTCACAACTTCTTGGACACTTGGTGGTAGTAAAAGGAGAATCATCTTATTTTGTAGTCTAAATGAGATCTTTTGCAACTGCATTGCTCCTATTTGGCTAAATGCAAGTAATTAATAATAAGAAAGTGTCTTGTCAAGCTTTTCCTCCATCTCCTTGGGTAGATTCCTCCTCTCCTCCTCTACCCTTGCGTAGATCCCACCCAGCCCCGTAGACTTGTGTGTGTCTATGTGCTGTAGCAGGTCAGTGACCACTTCCTCCTTGGGGGCCTCATTCTGCTCCTGTCTCAATCTCCCATTGAATTCAGGACTTAGGGTTCATGTTTGGCCTTAACCTCATTCAAGTTTCCCTGAAGCTGCTTCTTGCAGGGAGTAGGATGCTGGGCTGTGCTGTGCTTCATGGCAGAAACAGAGTAATCTTTTTATTCTGGAGCCGCAGATTAGCTCTGATGTGGTATTATAAATCTTTAATAGCAGGTCTAAAATGATCTCAGAGAGGAAGATTTTTCTAATTCTCTTCAGGTGTGACTTTTGTTATAAGTGTGTACTGTGGAGACAAACTTCTCTGATATGTTATCCTATGACATAGTTAATTAAAATCTTTATGTAAATAGTATGAATTGCTGAATCCTGGTCACAGTATTTTAGGAAGGAGCAAATATTGTAGGGATTTTCTGCTTTTCATTAACTTTGCAGGAAACTACACCAAAACCCTTATATTTTAGGGGAAGAGAAACCACTTGTCTAGACAAGGGTGCTAAGTTTGCCAGCAGATAATGTTTTCATTTTCACTCTTTTTAGAGCACTTAAGTCTTATATTTATATAAGAATTATGTTGTATAGACAGATTCCCTTTTTTCTGCTAAAAGGCATGTAAGTTTTTGTTTACATTCATGTAATCATCAAATATTGTGTAAATACAACAATGCATTCATGCCACTTCTTCCTGATACTATGATTCCTGCAATATTGACAGCATTGGTAAATCAACTCTGGATTTTTCAGGTTATCCAGAAAATCCTGCCCAAAAATTTTGGTTATTTTCCACAAAAGCTAGTTGGAGGTGATGGCAGACCTATCATGCACTTTGATGCTAACACATCTGTAGATGACTTTGCTGACAATACTGAAACCTCTGCAGAAGAGGAAGTGGACATCACCATTCTGAGTCATGAGGTAAATACATGTCTACTTAGAACTGCACCCAAGAAAGCAATTGCTATTATTATATCTAATATTGTTTTAGCATAAGAGATGTGCTGGAAGCTGCATCAAATGGGAAGTTTTAGTTTCTGTTCAGTGTCAGACTAACTGGACTTAGAGTGGCCTAGCCCAGTGTAGTTGTGGATGGATGTCCTGTGGCTTTCTAATTAAGTGTTAAATTTGGAATTCAACTGATTGCTCAACAAGAAGACTAAGGAAGCAGTACATATCTTTAAAATAACATAATTTAGTTTTTTCCTGCCTTTTTTTTTTGGTAACAACAGTAATGCATTAAGATGCAGCATTTTAAAAACAAAGATATACAGTCTAATAGCAATAAACTGGAAAAATCAAGTATGCTTTATGTTGTTATGCTATACAAACTAATATTTAAATGCCAAAACAGAAATAAACTTTTGATAGCAGACACCATCAAGATGGACACAGGATGTATTTGCAGTAGAAATCCATGTTTGAAAATATTTATTAAATATTATTAAATACTTGGTCCAAACCCCCAAAAACATAGGCTTGTAAAAAGCCATCTGTGGATGGCTGCCTGTGTGAGTAATGTGTTTGAGATGCACATCAGTATGTGTTTCAGTCTTGGTTTTTAATCTGAAATATTTTAAATTTAGGAGCTCTTGAAAGCTGCAGAGGACTTAAAGGAGAAGGTAGTTGCAGAAAGGCAAAGTAAGCTCCTTCTGGAGGTGAAGATACGTAAAGAGATGGCAGAAGCAATGTTTCAACAGCTGTTGGAAACAGAGGAAGCCTGGAGGCAAGTCATATTGCAGCCTGCTTTGAGACTGAAAGGATTCCACATGTATAAATGCATGCATATGGATGTGTAAACATATATGTGTATATTCAGGACATACCTACTGATGTTTTAGAGAAGATAGGGCTGAACAGTTTAAAAACCTCTGAAAAAAGGGAAGAAAGAACATTGGACTTGTACAGAGCAACCTCTTCACATTTACAATGAAAGAGGAATGCTGCTTTCTGTTGAACTTTCCTGTTTAATTTGTAATTAGTGGAGCTTGTCCTGGCTTGTTGTTACTACTTTGCAGATGTGGAAGATTCTTAAAGGTACCCCACTGAGACTTTTGATTTTTCCAAAACACACTCTGTCATGTTAATATGCTTGCGTGTGCATAAGGTAGTTTGAACCACATCTCTTCTGAGCTCCTCTGCTGCCTTATGAACCACAGTTAGTTTGCTATCTTATGAATTGCTGTGGCTCCCTGCACTGATGTTAATTTAGGAATTTATTTTTTTTTCAAGTCCAGATTCTTCACATTGAATTCACTTCCTCTTAACTCTTCTTTAAATCAGTTTCCTGCTGTTTGAATCATTAACAAAAATTAACACCAGGTTACCAGCTGAGCACATTATGGTTTAACACCTGCACTAGTTTTAAAATTGTTTGGTTGCCTTTGGCCAAACACAAGTCAGCATTGGTGCTTTTTCCTCTATTGAGGTGATCTGCATCACTGTTGGGGCATGTTTTTAAATTTTAATGGAGTAATGTGTAATGTATTGAAATAATAGGTAGAGAGGGACTTCTCATAAGAGTATGTAATGACAGGACAAGGGGAAGTGGATTCAAACTGAGAATTGGTTTAGATTGGTTGTTATGAAAAAATTCTTTACTGTGAGTGTGATGAGGCACAGGAACAGGTTGCCCAGAGAAATTGAGGATGCCCCATCCCTGGAAGTTGTTTAAAGGCTGTGTTGGAAAGGTCCAGTGAAAAGTGTCCTTCCCCATGACAGGGAGTTTAGAATTAGATGATCTTTAAGGTCCTTCCCAACCCAGGCCATTTTATAATTCTATGAAAATAAATTTGGAATTTAACTTAAATTGAAAAATAGAAAAACCAACCAAAACCCAAAGTGAAAGATACCCCCAGGATATATGCTTCAAATATCATGTCTAAATGGGTGTGGTCAATTCTATTGCTATATGTTGGTAGCTTTTCTTATTTTTTTTTTGACAGGTGTTAAGTGTGTGTTCTTCTACAGAACTTTTTTTTGGTATATGCCAAATAGAAATTACATTTTGGTGCAAGTCTGTAGGATCATTGCAATTCAGAAGCAAAAAGAACTTCTTTGTCTTTTTGTTTCACTATTTGTGATTAGAGAAATAACTTTAATGTTGACAGTTGAATACATGTAATCAAATGTAATAGCTGGAATGCAAACATTTCATAAATAACTAACATGTTCTCTTCAGCAACCGCTTGGAAGATATGAAAGACAGTTATGAAGAAAAACTTGAGAGCAAATTTGAAATGTATAAAGAGGCCATTAAGAAACATGCATATATGTGTGCAATGGAACAAATTGAAGACCACTATGTTCCCATAGAAGAATTTCTAGCTGAACAAGAGAAAGTTGAGGTATGACTTGACTGCCATTAAAATATGTTCTAGCCTCTTAACTGTAAATTTTGCTTTTCTTTAACAGAATCACTCTGGGATTTTGAATGTAACACTAAACAAGGAAAATAACTTGTAGTTTAGCCTTGCTGTTCTGTGCTCAGTGCTCACCATGAGCATACAGATGTCTTCTCTCTGGCACCACCTGTAATATACAACTAAACCTCATGATCTTTGAGGGCACAGTTCAGTTAAATCCAAGTCAGCTTTATCTTTGTGGTGCAATGATTGGAACACCTGAGGGAACGGTGCGTACAGGAGTCTGGCTTCCTACAGATCTTTGGGATCATAGGATGTGGAGTAAAATGCTTCTCTGAAAGGGTGATGGGTAATTTGTTAAAGGATAGCTATTTTAGTCATATTAGCCATTTTAATTATAACTCACCTCTGGTCTGGAGGAGGTAGGAGAATTTTAGGATAAGAAACTGATGCAGGAGAGAACTGAATCTCCTGAATGTACTTAAACATAGAATTGCTCAGAATTTGCATTAGTAAATTGCTACTCCTCTTGCAATGCAGCCAGATTAGCTATCAGAAATTCAGCTTTCTAACCTCTGCATATGTGGTTAAGTGCATCCAGGCTCCAGATGAGCCCTGTGGGTCTTGTTTTCAAAAGGCTTTTTTAGTGGAAGGATAGAGCAGCTGTGGTGTCCACCAGAGGAGCTCTCACTGCACTCTCCTATTATGGAACTGATAAGGCATCACACTCCATGGATAGTCAGGTTCCTTTCAAGGCATGAAAAGTGGGTTTCTCTTGTAGATTGTGGTATATAAATGTTTTTGCTTTTACAGCTCTGCATTCAGTTGCTGACAAGCAACACCATATTATGTAATGGCCTGTGGTTTTCCAGGTCCTTCACATTTGTCACTTTTCCTCACTTAGACTCTCTTTTTATGTTCAGTTAAATCCCAGCTATACACTATATTAGCATGGACAAAAAGAATTTTAATAGCGCTCTTATACTGGCCAAGAGGCTGCATAAGGGAAGATGCAAAGAGCAAGATGCTTTTGGTAGCAAAACAGATAAGAAACTATTGAAATCCCTGAGATGTAGAAGGGTTAATTGACAAAGGAGAGCCCAGCATGAATCTGAGCGAGCAGCTTCAGAGAACCAGAATTAGATGAATAACTTTTCTTGATTATGCCACTTGCTTGATTTCTCACTCTGAAATGCCACCCCAGCAATCTGACAGATACTGGAAAAGAGTTTGAAATTAAAATGTAGCTCTATGAAGTACGTTCTTCCCTAGTTAGCAAGCTAACTCACAGCAATATTTAGCACAGACACACTAAAGTTTTCTTTCTGCCATATGGTTACTTTTAATACAGTTTGGAAATCCTCAGACTGGAAGAGTTGACTCCTGTGTAAAGAAACTTCCTCCTTGATGATCTGGTGACCTGAGTGTTATCCCTTACTGTGATTTCCTAACCATAACCTGTGAAATAATTTAAAATTGCATGAGTGTGTGTGGTATAATTGAAGGATGTGCAATAATGCATCAGATTAAGCAGAAGTGCAGAAAAATTCTACCACATGCCCTTATTTTTTTTTAGGATAGAGAGAGGAAAATACTGCAGTTGGAAAGGCAACTTGATGAGCAGTCAGGGAGGCTGTTGGCTCCTGGAAGTCTGAGCTCGGATATTCCAACTACTGAAAATAACGTGGAACAAGGTAGGAATGTAACCTGGGTATCCAAAGTTCAGTTTAGTTCTGGTAATGTGTATAAACAAACTTTTCTCTATAGGTCTTACAGACAGCACAATGAAGAGGGCCAATGAAGGACTGAAGAAACAATGTGAAGAAAAGGAAGAGGTAGCTCTTGCTTAATATTTATCTGGGGATAACGATTGTAAACTCTATCATGGCTCAATGCTTAAAGATGTGCATTGTAGACAAAAGGATGAAGATTCCTGCAAATAGGCATTGAGCTTATAAAAAAACAAAAACCCTTGCTCAGTTGTGGGTGACTTTTACCAGAGACTGTTCTGGCTGGCTTTATTCTGGTCTGTAAAGCCATTTGCTACTGTAACATGTCATGGTGAATGTGGAGAGAGCTGGAAGAAAGGAAGTATGTTTAGTCTTGTGTTGGAATCTATTGTAAATATTGCTGCCATGACCTCATGCTTTTCTTCCTGAAATGCTGCCTGCATAGGGGAACAGTTACAGAATCTGGTAATAGTTTAGATTTTAGATCTAAAATCAAAATAGTGCTTTATAAAGCAGTCCCTTCTGGGAGTACTCCACTATCACCCTAAACTTAAGGTGAATAAGCTCTGTTCTTCAAACAAGATCTGTGTTCTGAATACCATATAGAGATGGGAATTATGGAAAACATTAATTTTTAAGTATGCATTTTTATTCTATTCCTTGAGGGATCTTCTTGTAAAGATACAGCTCATTTCCCATGTTTAAAGAGGATGGGGAGAAGGGAAGAGAGAGGTCTTGCTTCTTTATCTAATATCAAATATGAGTAGGGATTGGAGAAATAATTCCAGCTGGTTCTAATAAACCATGTAAATGGAAAATGAACTTAAATCCCTTTCTATTGAGAAAGAATACTCCAAAAATAACTTTCCTTAGCATCTTTAATGTCTCATGCTATAGCCATAGCATTTGGTTTCTGCTCCTGTTTTTGATAGCTCTACATAATTTTTCCATGTCACTTTCAAATTTTGGTGAAAGTTTGGCTTTTATTCTTGTTATGATTATACAGTTACTGCTGGTTTTGTGTGCCTAGAAAGTGTTCATATTATGAGATTGAGTCTGGGCAATATCTGAAGCGAGAATGGTTTAAACCGGTTGATTCTATCAGTGCCTTTCTCTGCTTTGCCTCAAAGATCAGTGCATGTGTGACTTGTAATTCAATACTTTTTTCTTCCCATTCAGCCATTAAACATGGACAAAAGGTGTAATTTTTTTTTAGCAACTTCATAGAAGTAGATTAACAGTAACATCTATTTTTCTGCCTCAGAATTTCTTTGCCTCTTGGGGTTTAGGCTTAATCCATTAATATTCCCATCAGAAAGGTGAGGTCTTCTGTGTTAATTCTTTACATGAACAGTGTTAATGAGACAAAAGTGTTCTTTTAATTACTCTTACTGATATGGAGCAGGCTGTTCCAGATGTAGCTTAGTCTGTGCTACTGTTCATTGATTGGCAGGTCTGTAAATCATAGTAGCTTCAACACAACAACCTTTGAATGCTCTAGCTGTATTTTATCACCTAAAATGATGAGCTGAGACATAGGAGGTTGAAAGAAGCAGACTTTCTTGTTTTGATCTTGCAGTTTGCACTGTTCTAGTCATAAAAAACAATAATGTAAAACATTACAAAGCTGTTTTGAGCTTCCATGTGTATGGGCTTTATTTTCAGCTTATAAAATCTCTGAAGTTTAAAATACAGAAATTAAATGAAGCTCTGCTAGAAGCTAATGAAGGCTACAGAAAAATGGCAGAAGAGAACACTCAACTGAAGCACACAATCATGCTCAAGGTTAGTCAGTGATTTGAAAACAACTTTAATATGGCTTGTATCTATAGTTAGACTGGATGCTTCTGCATCTTTTTACATGTAAAACCACTTTTAAATTAGCGATTTGTTTTAATATTAGCATTTTTTTCTGTGCCTAACTTCCTGAATTGAGTTCAGAGCCTTTGTGTATCATTGCTTGACTCTGAATCTTGTAAGACAAAACTAATTTTTCAACTTAAGTGATGGACTCTATCAATAGGGTAACTCTGCTGACAAAGCCTGCTAGTCTAAAGATATCATGAATTATTGCCAAGCAAAGAAAATACTACTTAGAACTCATCATGAGGCATGTTGCTAAGGCAAGCAAGGTGTCACTGCACAAATGTTACTGCAGCAAGGCTGAAGGATCAATGCCTTTAAAGCTATACTGACAGTCCTGCCAGAGGTGGCCAAACTGGATAAGAGATACAGGCAGATAAACTGTTTAATACAGAAACAGATGTTTTCCCCTCAAAAGCAGGGACTTCCTAATGTTTGCAGCATCTGACCTCAGATATCAACTAGATTCCTAAACAAAAAAGACTGAAACTTTTGAACTCTTGGCACTTTGAATCTATGCCTTAGTTGTAATCTGCAGATTACAGTTATTATAATAACTGCTTAGTGATGTCTTCCTTTGAACATTAGATTACTTTCTAGTTTTTTAGTTTAAATCTGAGACTGAAAATTATTTGACTTAAACTTTTTAATTGGAAGTTACCTTCCTATCCATTCTTAATAGGAAGGGGATTTTGTTAATCACAGATTAGCAAGTGTATTTAAGAGTGTATTTAAAGCTCTGTATTCTGCCCACTGGAAGCATTTATTCAGCCCTTATATTCCTATATATTCAGTATTTATAGCAGTTATGCCATAAGAGTTTTGATTTGGCCAGTTTTGCTTTCAAGAATTGCAAGGCAGGAAAGCCACTTTTATCTAATTCTTAGAACAACTTCAATTCTTTGCATAGTGCAGCAAAGCATTTTAGCTTCAGCCTCTTAGTCAGACTTGGTCTCTATCTAGATTTTATGTGCCTGTAGTTTGCTGGGCTTTTAATTACTGTGATGTAATTTAGAGGAAATGTACTGAATGGCCACATGACATGGTAATAACAAGGGTGTTTATGGGTTTAGTAAAATAATGTGAACCAGAAAATTAACTGCATGAGAGAGACCATGCAGTGCTTACATCCTTAACACAACCTTAACCTCATAGGATCAAGAAATGAATAGTCTTCAGAACTGGGCTAAACGTGTTCTTGAGCTTGAAGAAACAGTGTCGTCCCTGCAAAAAGAGCTTGAAGAACGGAAAAAGCATTTCTATGCAGAGGAGTCAAAACAGCAGAAACCCAGGAGAGGTTTGCTGGCTAACCTGAAATCCACAGTAGCATCCACTGCTAATATACCTCTTGGGAAAGGCTGGGGGAGGTATGAAGAGGCTTCACCCTATTCAAGAAAACAAGTACTGTTGCCTCATAAAACAAAAGAATAATATTTAATAAAGCAAAGTGTACATTTACTGGGCTTCTTTAGTAGTCTTAAAACTGTTGGTAGCTCTTTCTTACTCTTAGGTGCCATCTTCAATGTCATGTTGACTGACAGAAAAATGTTTAATACAGAGCTTTAATTGAATCAGTGTTGAATTTTGAGCTATAAAAGTTTAGGTCTAGACATGTGCTTTTACTGTTGATATAGGGATGTGATTTGAGAAATATATTTTAATTCTGGAGTAAAGTATCATGGTCCTCTGTACTGATAAATGTGTTGTTCAAGCAAAGTGGGATGCCCCTCATCTGCTGTTTGTTATGTTTTTAAGTTATGTTATTTCATTGCTGATTCCTAGAAATCAGATGGCTTATAAATTTAATCCTAAGTAGTTAAAATAGCATGGTTCTTCAGTTAATATTTTGGTTTTGACCTGGAGACTCTCTTCTTGGGACAAAACTAAGCAAACCACTAAAGAAGGCAATGAAATGAAACCTCATCTGGCTCCTTGCTATTTTTTTGGCTAACTTGGCTTTGTAAAGAAATTTGTTTTAATAAAATTTGAATTTCCTCTAGAAATATGTATTAAACTTTGAAAAAATGTATTTAATAAAATTTTCCATTGCTACCTGATCAGCTCTGATTCTAGATTCTATAAATCAGCAAAACCAAGATAAGGAAAGATCATAAGACTAGAACCTAAATAATAATAGTGATTGATAGGATGATCTTGATTTGAAAGGGTCATAATCTTGATTATATTACTTAGATTTGATCTAATAGCTTAAGGATGGAAGACTGGAGCAGGATAAAATTTTAAATAGTTTTTCTATAGCCCTTTCCAGTCAGTGAAGGTGGTGGGTTTAGCTGGTGTGGAAGTGCAATGCCTGTAATTTCTGGAGGCTTGTTGTGAAACCCATAAGTAAATTGGATTGATCAGTCCCTGCAATGGTGTTTCTCACAGTGGAGGGGGTTCCAAGCAAGAACTCTCCCTGGTGAGACAGTAGGTCGTGCAGCCTTCCCATGTGACAGGAGGACAGCCCTTCTCTGCTGTGACTCCTCTTGTCAAGTCTTTGAGAGTTTTGGGTTGGTCTGTGATCAGTAATTGCTCTGATATCTATTTAACAAGGCTGTGGGGGGTTGTACTTCAGCCATTGCTTTTCTCATGTTTTGACTGGTTCTGTTAAATACAGGGTTATCTGGCTTTAGTTGTTCTGAAGGCCTATATAATCCCTTGCAAGGTAGAATTTCTAAAATATTTTTCTACTCCCACATAAACTTCCAGCTATTAAAAAATATTTTGGTGTAGTTGTATGAGACACTGAATGTTGATCTCTTGAATAAGGAAGCTGTTATGTACAAATTGCTTTAGGAAAAGCAGTTAAAACAGAAGCTTAAAAATCATCAGAACAAGCTAATACTGGAAAATTTCCATTATATAATTTCAAACTACCTCATGCTATACCTTGGCAGCCTGTCTAGCAACTTTATGTAACACTAACTATAATCTCCTATTCCCTGAGCAATTGTTCTTTCTATGTTCCCTCTAACTTCCCAGAGCTCTTTGGCTGGCTACATGAAATGCTTTGAAAGACAAAGTTACATTATCTTGAGCTTTTTTTTTCTTCCTTTTATTTTTTTTTTTCAGTCTTAAAATAAAATGAAGCCTGTAGTGAACTACTGGTCAGTACTGAACTGCTTATGCTTTCCCAAGAGTTGCTGAAGCTCAGTGTAGCTATTACATGAAAGGCTTTTGAGAAGCTGCTTTCAAGAATAGCTGAGGGTTGGTTCTTCCCTTCATGCCATCCAGGATAACAAGAAACCGCAGAAGGATGCAACACTGGTTAGTTTGGTCCTTTTCAGTTTCTCAAAAGTGAGTGGGTTTAAGGAAAGCGGAATCCATTAATGTTGGTAGTGGTGATAATCAGATTCCCCTGTTCCACGTGAAGCTGCTGCTGGATAGAACATCAGCCGTTTGTTTTATCTCAAATTACTACCATACAACTTGCTTCAGATTAAGTGTTTATTAAAATTAAAAAATCACCATACAATAGAAACTATTTACATATTTAACTGATAGTCTGTTTAAACTGCACAGTTTGACTGAAGGAAGCCACTGGAAAAGAAAAGCCATGAATACTTCTGCTGCTGAGCTTCAACTGCAGGCATACTGAAGCTTTCTCAGAAAGGTTTTTAAGCTTCTGCTAAGTACCATTTGCCTAAATAACTGGGCTGAAGGATGGCAAAGATGTGTACTGGGTTTCATTTGCAAGAACCAGTGTCATTTTGAAAAAGAAGTAAAATCTGTGCTGTGGTTACATTGCAATTGCACCAGCTCATGTTTGGGTGATAGAACAATTCAATGTAAAGAGCTTAGCAAATTGCTAACAAATTCACTTTAAGAATTAGATTTGTAATACTGAGCAACAAATGCCAGTGTCACTGTAATGTAACTTGATGTCCTATTGCATGTTTCCACAAATTGTTTTTGATAGTGCTAAAGCTAGTTTTAGCTTTCAAACAGATTTGAGATTAGTTGATTAAAGCAGCAAAAATATAAGGAATATTCTTGAATAACCACGGAGGATTAAAAATTAAGATTAAAATATTTTCACTGGTAACAGTTTCAGTGACTGCAATGATAGCATTAACTTCCTTCAACATCCTGTGCTTTTCCATGGACTTCAGATGATGACTTTGGCCTTGTGGGAAGCTGAAGGTTGAACACAGGGTGAGGTGTGCTGCCACATCTGCAGTCATGTGTGTTCATCTCGCTCTTCTGCATCTGTGATGCAATGCTTTGAAAATGATTTTAAATTTAGGGTTTTACAGCAGTAAAACAGAACTTTTTTCAGTGTAAAGAATTACATACGTAACTCTTCCTCAAAGGAAACCTTGACACTGTTTAGAAAGTCTTACAAGAGATGACAGTATGCCTGATACTAATGTGAAATAACAAGGATATAAAAATAATTTTTGCAATATGCTGTATTTCAAAAATGATGATTTAAGAACATCACCATGTCTTAAATCTCTAAGTTGTCCTTTGTAACTTTTTGTTTTGAAAACAGCTGTTCATGCATCCTCTCAACCCTTTTATCAAGGTCTCCTTATAACATTTTGCGTGACTTAGATCCTAAGAAGGTCTTGTCAAGCTCTATCAGGGCATGGTTGTTTTCCTTCCTTCTCCTTCCCCACCCCAGAAAGCCTGTTTGCTTTGGGGTGTTTCCACAGATCCAAAACACAGAGCCTTTAAGGAGAACGTGAAGCTTTAGAGGAACTGTTTTAACCAAATAAAAACATTATTTTTCTGCAGAATTATTCTTTCCTTCAGCATTTCAGCTTCCACACTCAGTTAAGACATCTGAATGTCTTAACCAGTCAGATGTCCTACCAGTGAAGTAACTGGTTTGAGCAGTCTGTTCTAAAGATAGTCTATGGCAATAGAAAAAGTGTTCATTGTTCTATGGCTGTTGTTGATACTGCCCTTCTGTCGCTGTGTAGAAGTCATCAAGCACACTCTGTAGGTAATCAAAGGTTGGTCTCTCTTCTGCTTTGTCTTTCCAGCATGTTTTCATGATATCATAAAGCTCAGCCGGGCAGGTTTCCATGCGTGGCATTCGGTACCCACGCTGAAGAGCAACCATCACATCAGAATTGCTCATCCCTTCAACAAAAAAAAAAAAATAGGTTTGATGAAATTATCTTCATTCCTAGAGAAAATATTTTTTCTTGTTTTTTACTTCACTCTAAAGATCTTCACCCTCTAGTATAAGACCCCTGCTACTTATTAAAGGTAGCTCCCAGCATGAGTTCAATAAACAAGGTTGAGGTATGCACCAGCAGTAAGAGGCTTGCTCTGAAAATCCTGGTGGGAGCATTTCCATTTCTGCAGTTGAGCATCACAACCTCTTTGGTGCCAAGTCTAACAAGGCTGTGGGAAAAATCACAGTTCTTATCTAGAAACAGCTCTGTTCCATCCTTCTGATCAGTCCTGTACCCATTAATTCTGTTTCCTGTGGTGTTGTAACTCTCAGCAACAGCCTGCCCTGGCACCAGCCTTCATCTCTAGCCTCAGAACTACTGCTCTGCTTGCTGGAGACCCATCCATGCTGAATGGAGAGCAGCCTCCCTCTTTGACCACACTGCCAGTCAGCCTGCCCAAAACTCTCAGGTTTTTTTCTATGTCAGCTTTTGTGTAAATGCTGCTGATTGCAAGATACTGGATAGTCACTCATGAAATTGTTAATTGTAATAAGCGATTTCCCCTCTTGTCCTATTCCTGTCATGCAAAACCATCTCGCCAGCTATGCTGAGGTTTGCTTTTTTTCCCCTGCTATGGTTTTTCTTTCAGGGGATAAGGGCTGTAAGTACCAGCAGTGCATCCTGTGTCTCACATGCCAACTAATGTCACATGAGACAGTTCTGTCCTGGACTCCATCTTCCTCCCTGCTTTTTTAAATTTCCTGTCACTCCTCCCCCCTTTATCAAACCCTTGAGAGTGGTTCACAGAACAATTTCAACACCTACTCTCAGAAGGCCAGCTATGTTAGAGCCAGCTTTTGCTATTTTAGGCTCACCACTTCCTACCCAGAAACCTGTCTTTGGGCTTGTCCCTTCCTCTACAAATCTAAACCAAATGGTCACATTACCTTCTCTGGACACAGACTCTGTTCTGTACTCAGTGACTGCTGCTTGTTCTGATGCCTGGGCATGCAGGAAGCACCTGTGCTTCAGCCTAGAGCTTCATGCTCACCACAGAAGGCTTTGCCTTTTGAGAAGGGTATCCCAGGCCTCTCAGCCACTCAGGCTAAATGCTGCACGTGGTACAATTCTGCCCAAGACCACAGCTCCTTCAGGTTTTCTCAGGCCATTCAGCCTCTAGTCAGGTCCATGCAGGACAGCCTCCTGCACACACCAGCTCCCCAGAGGTGCAGGAAGAGCAGCTCTGCTTGGCTGAGAGGACACAGGATGGGTCCTGCTCTGAGCAAGGTCAAGAGTGGAGATGTAGATGTGGTGCTTCCCTGAATCCTTGGTGCAGCTCTGTTGCTGCAGACTGTGCAGACCTTGTATTATCTGACTGCTATGGTTCAAGCCACTTGGCAGGTAAGGACACATTTGAATTACAACCAAACGATAACTTTATCCAGTGTAACTACTTGAATTATTCAAGATGATCATAGTTCATATAGTTGACTTCATCTCAAGCCTGTTGGCTTTAAGCTTTCCCAAAAATACCCTTAGCCATGTAACCTGAGTCTGGATCAAAGTGCTTACTTTGGGCATCTTTTGTATTTTCAGTTCCTCTTTGGAAAGAGAAGGGAAGTTTTCCTGAACTAATACTGCCTGTGTGCAGAAAATAAGTATTTCAAAGTAGGGGAAGGGCAGGTTGTCACAGAATAAGGAATTACTGCTATATAGAGACAAATTAAATACAGGAAGTCAATAAAGCATGTTATAGAGAACAGTGATTGGACTGCTTGAACCTAAAGAAATGGATTGAATGTAATATATACAGTAAAACAGTTATTCCTACCCTAGAAAATCTTAGTTAACTGTACTGCTGTATGAAGACTGCTGCTACTGGGCTTTTGTGCAGAATGGGGATGACTTTTTAGGTTTAAGTGCTTTATAGGATTATGCTTAGATCTGTTGTCTGCAGGACCAATTGTTACATTGTGAATGCTAAGGACAAAACCCATGTTTCAGCTACCCTGCAGGAAAACTATCTGTTTAATATCCATTTGAGGTCAGAAGCAAAAAATGAAAACATTTTTATCAGTATTTTATCAGTATAGTAAACATATGTTTGGGGTTTTATTTAAAACAAAAAGGGTTACCCACAGTCTAAACAGTATTCTCAAAATAGCTACTTTACCTTTTAAAATTGTTTCAATTTTTTTTCTTTTTGTAGCTAATATCTACATCCTAATCAGTAAAAGAAATGTATCCCACATACATATTTATCACACCTACACCCTCTTGAATGCTAAAGTTTTGGTACATGTCTGTTAATTTATGCTGTGATACCTGTTAGGTTTCACAAAGACACGGTTCTTTATGTTAGGGCCTGGGAAAAGATGTGAACAGAGTGGTATGGAGGAAGAATGCCACTGTCAGAAAGGGTCATACTTTGTGAAGAACAGCAGACATAACTGGAATGCAATTATGGATGTTGCCAGTACTGACACTCTATGTAATTACCCAGAAATTAGGTTTTAACTAACAATTCAACTTACGTGCCCAGAGAATCAGATACTTGTTTCATGTAATTCCTGAGACTGTAGTTCCACTAATGGCTTTGAGTTTCTCAGGAGGAGAAACGGCTGGTGTAATTTAAGAACAAAGATCACAAAAGCTCCAAGTTTCTTGGTTAGAAATGCTTCCTACCAAG